CCTAAGTCTTTAGAATACGTCTTCAAAGCGCCAATGTCGCCATCGTTAGCAACGTCAATGCCTTTCTTGTGCTTTTTGTTTCTTCAAAGAACTTTTTCTATCTCTTTGAATCTTTTCATTTTGTTCCATGTTCCCGACGGTTTGTCAATATCAAAACCTAAACAGAAACAAACACTATCATTAGCAAAATGTCAAAGTGAAAATGTTTTCCAACAATTTCCCCCTTTTTGATAATGACAAACCAAGGAGGGGATATGCAGGCCAAGTTAGGTTTTCAAAGAGAGATTAATGGTAATTCCCCCTACGTCTTTGAAAACAAGATTCCCCCTCACTTGTTGCATATACCCAAACACTTCCCCCTTTTGGTATTAGCAAAAAGCACTAAGTTTACAAAAAAGGTACTCCCTGAGCATGGATGTTAGTTTGATACAAAACATCATTGTTGTATGTTCCCCCTGAAACTGATACCATGTTTATAGCAAAAAACAATTCCCCCCAAACTCCCCTTGATGCAAATCATTAGGTTTCGTGCTTGGAGCATCCACTGCAAATGTAGTCTTCAAACACACCTACATATGCATCTAAAAATAATTTTTAGGTACCCAAAAATGTTTGGGTCCTTGAGGGTTAGGCAAATAATAATCATAATCATAATTATAAGAAGTGTCCCTATGTCTAGAAAAACAAACGGGAGCTATGTGTCCTATGTTAGAACAATAATGGCATACTACATTTGGATTATGCATATGCCTAGGTTGAGCCAAAAACTTTCTAGGTGATCTAAAATCATCATTCCTAGAATTATTAACTAAATTTCTAGACTCATTTCTAGGTTGTCTCAAAATATTTCTACCATTTGTAAAAATCCTAGAGTCAATTCTAGGTTGTCTTACCTTGTTACTTTTATTATTTCTAAAATTAATTTTGTTATACCTAGGATTATTAGTTCTTCTAGGTGGTCTATCATTCTTAACTTCTTGACAAAGTTTCTTAGGCTCTTTTACCTTAATTTTTTCAATGGTGCTCTTAAGTTCTACATTCTCTACTTTTAAAGACTCACAAGAGGAACAAGTAGAACTTTGGTCAAAGAAGGAATCTTCATTCATTGCCTTAATTTTATTTTTGAGGTCATAATTATCATTTTCCAAAAATTTATTTTCCTCTTCCAAAGCATGAATTTTTGCTTTAGCCTCTTTGGCAATTTTTGAAGTTTTCTTCAATTCACCAAATAATTCTTGAAAGGCTTCTTGTAATTCTTCAAATGAGAAAGAGTTAGAAGTACTTACCTCTCCATTTCGTTCATGAGCCATAAGACATAAGGTGGCGGTTTCGTGACCGGAACTTTCCGAATCCCATGCCATGTATGCTCGTTCCTTCTTCTTCTTTTCCTTGCGGTTTGGGCAATATGGCTTTATGTGGCCAAGTTCTCCACAACCAAAGCACGTTGGAACGGGTTCCCCCTTTCTTTTGCAATCTCGGGACCTAAGTTCTTCCTTCAAAAACTCTTGGAACTTCTCGAGCAAGTTATAAGAAGGATTATCGTCATCGCTATCGGAGTCACTTACCTCTACCCTTTTTGAGGATGAGGCTTTGAGAGCGAGACCAAGACTCTTGTGAAGAGAAGGTTTAAGAACAGTAGATTCATAAGTTTTAAGATTACCTCGAAGACCATCGATGGTGACATTGGTGTTACCAATCAACTCATATATGGCATCGGCTTTTGAACGCCATTCCGGTGTTAAGCTCCGAAGGATTTTTCGAACAAGATCTTTGTTCGAGTTTGTTTTACCAAGGACATGGAAATCGTTGATGATCTTTAAAAATCGGTCGAACATTTGATCAATGCTTTCAATTTCCTTCATTTTAAACAACTCATATTCATGGGTTAGAAAATCAATTTTAGCTTCACGGACTTGAGGCGTACCTTCGTATGTCACTTCAAGCTTATCCCACATTTCTTTTGCGGTGGAGCAAGAAGAAATTTTCCGGTAGTCATCTGGGTTAATTGCACAAAAAATCACGTGTTTAGCTTTTCCAAAAGCTTCTACCTTCTTGATGTCTTCAACATCATATTCTTCCTCCTTCTTTGGGATGGTGGTTTCACCAACCTTTTTCATTGGCATCGTCTCACTGTTTTTGATGATTAACCACAGTTGGAAGTTGATTGACCGAATGTAAATCCTCATTTGTTCCTTCCAATAGGTGTAGTTTGTTCCATCGAAGAGTGGAGGTCTAACGGTGGAGTGTCCTTCGCTTAATCCTGCATACGACATTCTCAACAAAAAATATAGATCAATCTCTCAACCGGTTAAGGCTTGTAGAGAGTTAGGCTCCGATACCAATTGTTAGAATAGGTGCCCTTCACTAGAGGGGGGTGAATAGTGAGGCACGAGAATGTTTATAAAATTTCGCGGAATAAAAATCGCAGGGATAAAGTAAAGAGCGGAATAAAAAGGTGTAAAGGGAGCACACCAAGATTTATACTGGTTCACCACAACGTGTGGCTAGTCCAGTCTCCCGAGAGACTCTCTCGAGCTACACTACTTCCGTTAAGCTTACAGGTGCTTAACAAACCGTTACAACATGAGAACTCGAGTCCCACGAGCCTCAATACACTTGCTCGGAGATACCGCACTCCAAGACTTCAACCCGAAGGAATATGCCCTTCCTTCGTACAACCAAGGGAACAAACCTCCTTTAAAGTGTTCACAACACTTAACCACTCAAGAACAAAAACTCTCTTAAAGAGTAGAATATGAGTAAACTAATTTAGATCAAGAACACACTCAATTCCTCAAGAAATGGCTCTAAAAAGCTATGTAAAAAGTTTATGGAATGATGCAATGTAAAGCTATGAAATGTGTGAGGAAATGGATGTGAAAAGTAGACCCAAAAGACCCTTTTTTATACCCAAAAACAAGGTGAAACGGTTGGGAGAAGATTGGGGTTGATTGGCTTGATTTGTGGAAATCAAATAAAAGTGGATCTACTGAAATCTAGCCCGACAACGCTGTTCATATAGTGAACATCGCTGTTTTGGCTTTGACTTTCCTTTAAAAATGGCTAACGGTCATCAAAACATCGATGTCTAGAAGTCTACATCGATGTTGGGGTGTTTGACTTTCAAAAATGGAAAGATTTTGTCTTAAATAGCCCAACGGTCATTTGAAAACATCGCTGTTCAACAATGAACATCGCTGTTCAAAAACCTACTGCCCAAGACTGACGTGAGCCAATCTGGCCAAAACATAGATGTTCAAATCTCAACATCGCTGTTCAGACATAGATGTTCAAATCCCAACATCGCTGTCCAGACATCTATGTTCAAGATCNGATCCTACATCTATGTTGGGCCTGGTCGCCAGAACCATAGTTTGACAGCCAACGCCGAAAACTGATGTCAAAAACCAAAGTTCTCCAAAATGAAAACCAAGTGTTAGAAACTCTTATATAATGTATTTAATGTAGAAACTAAGTATAAAAACTTAAAAACCACTTCATTAAGGTAAAAATCACGGCTAGCCAAGTTTATGCCGTTTCACATGGTTTTCACCAAAAGACAAAAAATGAAAGGTGGTTTTTAACATGTTTTTGTTGGAGAACCATTTGTATATGTCCAGAAGTAAAAAAAAATCATAAAATATTAAAAACCACTTGATTGATTTGGACGCCAAAAACCAACGCCGATAACCAGCGCCGGATGCCGATAACCAATGCCGAAAAAACAAAGGTTATGGTTTTTGAAAACTAATGATTTGGAAAACCTTTTAATGTGTCCAGAAGCTTAAAAAAAGGATAAAAACCCAAAAACCATTTGGTTAAAATCAATGCCAATAACCAATGTCGAAAACCGAATGCCATAGCCGAACGCCGATAACCGATGGTTATGGTTTTGGTTAAGCAAGAACCATGGGCTTTAGAAACTTAAAAACCATTTATGAAAACACTTATTTGATGCATGAAAAACATATTTTGTTTTGAGCCATGACGTAGAGAAATTGAATGAGCTTGTTACAATAAAAACCTAAGTCTTTAGAATACGTCTTCAAAGCGCCAATGTCGCCATCTTTAGCAACGTCAATGCTTTTCTTTTGCTTTTTGTTTCTTCAAAGAACTTTTTCTATCTCTTTGAATCTCTTTATTTTGTTCCATGTTCCCGACGGTTTGTCAATATCAAAACCTAAACGGAAACAAACACTGTCATTAGCAAAATGTCAAAGTGAAAATGTTTTCCAACAGCGCTTGATTTTAAACACCCACTTGCATCCAAGAGCCTTCTTATGTCGTGAGGGATGAACAAGGGACCACGTGCCATTAGCCTCCAACGCATCAATTTCTTCACGCATGACCTTCCTCCATCGCTCATCCAGGAATGCCTGTTTGAAGTTTCTAGGCTCTATTTCTTCATCAAGTGCTGTGAGAAAACACTTATGTTTGTCAGAAAACTTCTCATATGTAACGCCCCGAAACCCGGCTTAGTATTTTTAATTAATTTATATAATTAATTAATTACTAAGTCGGTCAGTACGAAGATTATTTTCAAATATGTGTATTTAATTTGAGTGTTGACCTACGTTGTAAGGTTCGCTGTTCTCAACTCGATTGCACAAACTGATTGAGAATCGGACTTACTGGGCCCAAGATACGACTGACGAATAAGATAATTGAGCTTAAATCTATCCTAATCTGTTGGGAAGTTTAAATTGGACCCTAAAATATACTCCCACCGTCCCTAAATGGATTACAATTTTTTTTCTCTCTCCTCTCGATAACTTTTGTTTGTTTACGCGATTTGACTAAGTATTTGATAAAATAAAATATTCTTGTCACCTCTTATTTTGTAGAACTTTTCACGTAGTTTTTTAATATGTAATTTTTATATATTATTGATATACCAATTTGTAAATAAAATGATTTCAAAAAGTAGGAAATTTTACTCCGTAACCCGTAATTTGTAATCAAATTGGGGACGGAGGGAGTAATTAAATTATATTAAATAGGAGGGGAGGGGTTGTGAATTACGAGAAACGTCTCTCTCTCGTTCCCGTCCGTTTTCCGTCGTCTCCCCTGCCCAGGTCCTCGGTTGCCGTCCGTCAACCAGCAACAGCAGCGCCGTCGAGCCGCCAGGACGTCGCCGTCGACCACCGCCTTCCCCCTCTCTCTTTCTGCCGGCAGGCGCGGGAGCCGCGACGGGGCAGCGGCAAATCTTCCTCTCTCTCGGATTCCAAGTTCTTCGTAATCGAGGTGATTCGTTGTCCAAGATATCTAGCGTTAGCGTTAATTCGTAGATTAGGATCTTGTTTGTGTTTAATCTTGCGATTGATGGTTGAAATTGTGGAATTGATGAATGAATTGGGGTGGTGAACCATTTGGGCTGGTTTGGGGGTCGGATTTCCGGCAGTTTTCCCGACGGGTCGCCAGTGAAGGGTCGGCCAGGTTGCCGGAGTTACTGGTTGGTTCCAATTGGTCCCTATTTGGCCCAATTGGATGAATTTGGTGAGATTGGGTTGGTTTGGGTCTTATTTTGGGTCAATTGGACTTTTTTGGGTTAAATTGGTTACTATTGGGTTGTAATTGGATTTACCGTTTCTGTTTGGGTGTTGGGCTGGCTGCCCGGTCTGGTAGTGGGCCGGCGGATTGGTGTTTTGGCTGTCCGGGCCGTTGATGGGCAGCCTGGGTTGTTGTTCGGCTGTCCGGCAGTGGGCCGGCGGGCCGGTTGGTTTGAGCTGTTGGGCCGTTTGGGCCGGTTTGGGGCCGGCTGCCCGAGGTGGCGGTAGGGCTGCCGAGCGGTGGGCAGCCGCCGAGAGGGTTTGGTTGGTTGATTTTTAGGCCGCTGGTTTGGTTCGGCGGGTTGTCGGGCTGATCCGGTGAGAATTGATACTGTTCCGGCGAGTGCAGCGGGACTGAGAATAAATCTTTAGTCCCGAGTTTGCGACACAGGTAAGTTATTTTAATATTGTTGGGTTAAATCTTGTTGTTTGAGCATGACAGTAATCGGTGAGAAGTGATTCTTCCGATAGGCGCTGAGTGTGTTGTTCTGTTTATGGAAATGTTTAAGTGATTGTTATCACTTGAGAACTCTTTTAAAAATTGGCCACCTAGTATGCCTAGGCGGATCTAAACTGAATTGGATAATTTAAATACCAATAGGACTGTTGTTAGGTTCGGGCCTTGTGGAGCATGTTTGCATATCCAGTGGTCTAGGGTTCAAAACGTACATACGGGAGTCACTGTTCTACCTAAGGGATTCCTTGGTAGAGACTCCAACCCGCCCATTGAGGATTCTCTTTGGGTTTGTCCGAGCATCGACCTCAAGGGATCCGCTCGAGTGTCCATAACTCTAGTCTGTTGAATTTAGCCTTGGTGTTGTAGGGACAGAAATAACCCTTTGGAAATAAATGAACAGGAACTGTTGGATCTTTGTATCTGACAATAAATGTTGGTTGTTCACTGATGTTGCTGATTATATAAATGTGATACTATCTGTGAAATTAATTCTAGCGTTAGATATTTCTCACTCAGCTTCATTGCTGAGCGTGTAGCCCTTGTTTCCCTTTGTTACACGTAGGTGGTTGTGGAAGGTTGATTCTGAAATCCATCCCAGAGAGCAGCATGATGGAGGAGATGTACGGATGCAAGAATTTAATAAAGTTGATGTTTGATTAAATTATGAAGCTTCCGCACTGTTTGTATAAACTCCGATGTGTATTTAGATTGTTTTAAATTGTTTGAGTTTTTAAATTAAATATTTTTAATTTAATGGAAAATATTGTATGTGGATATCAATTTAGTAGCAACCCGGTTCGCTAACTTATTTGTTCGAGTTAAACGGGTTGGGGTGTTTCATCATAAGTGACATATGAGGAGAGTGAATATCTGCATCTTTATCCAATATGCGGACCAGCAACATGTGTAACATAGTCCCCAAGCCTCACATTTGGGCGCCTTTCCCGTTGACCACGCCCTAAGGTCTCTGCTGCTTGTTGGGAAGTTGATGGTCAACCGCCATCCGTGGAACGGTCCACACGGTCCACCGCCTGAAGCGGTTCCTGAGCGCCTACTTTCTACCTCAGAGACGGTCGACAGTTTCGTCATCTCCTTGGAGTCTGTCTTTCCGCCCCTCGGACGGTCGACCGTGGTTATCAGAACGGTCCACCGCGTCGACTGTTGGTTAATCCTCCAGGGGTCTATCTTTCTCCATCACGAACGGTCGACTGTGGACATCAGAACGGTCCACCAGGTCAACCACCTATAGCTCATCTGCATTGCCGTTCTCCACCGGTCGACCGTTCCTCACGGAATGGTCCAGCTGCTCTTCCACAGGTATTTCGTCATCATCGTCAAAGTGATCAATCGGAGAGGAGCTACTCGATCCATCTTCATCCAATGTTTCACCTGCGGAAATCAAATAAGGAGATATGTTTTCACAAAATACAACATCCCGTGATACGCTTATCTTCCCAATGTCTATGAAATATATGCGTCATCCCTTCTTTCCTTGTGGGTAACCTAAAAATATTCCAGGAATACTTTTGGGTGCAAATTTATCTCCATCTCTCTTCAGGTTGTGAATGTAACATCTGCTACCAAAAATTCGAATATGAGTCAGCGCAGGAGCCCTTGCATAAAGTTTCTCATACGGTGTAACCCCCCTAAAAGAGATGAGGACGTTCGGTTGATCAAATATGCCGCCGTTTATATGCACTCTCCCCAAAACTCGATCGGAAGCCCCGCCTGAAATCTCATAGCACGACCCACATTCAGAATATGCTGATGTTTACGTTCCACTCTACCATTCTGCTGTGGCGTAGACACACAAGATGTCTCACGAACAATTCCTTTATCCAGGAAGTATTCAGTCAAACATTCAAATTCTGTGTCATTGTCACTTCTAACACACTTTATTCTCTTCCCAAACTAACATTCAACCATGGCAAAAAATTGCTTAAAAGACTTCATACGGTTCGCTTAGAATCAAGCAAATACACCCACACACCACGTGAAAAATCATCCACAATAGTCAAAAAATTGTAGAACCATCCAAACTTGGCGCCCGATAAGGACCCCATAAATCACAATGCACCATATCAAATTTATCCATAGATTGATGAAAATTGATAGGAAAACTAGCACGAGTTTGTTTAGCACGCAAACATACATCACAATGACTATGTCTACTTTTATTCAAACCAACTACAGGAACTAAGGATAAAACATGCGAAGAAGGATGTCCTACACGTTTGTGCCAAAGATCAAACAAATTCTTCTTAGCAGCATTGCACACCATGCTCCTCTCCTCCTTTAAATAGTACAATCCTCCTTCGTGTCTACCCACACCAATCGTTGTCCTCAAACTTAGGTCCTATATGATGCACAAATCATTGGTGAACTTTGCCTCACAATTCATATCTTTTGTCAATTGTGACACATAAATAAAATGGCAATTCAAGGTTGGAACAAACATTACATTCTGCAAAGTCATAGTCATAGTCAAATCAACCTTTCTAGATTGAACAGACACAACCCTTTTTCCATCAGGTAATCCAATTTCACACGGAGACACACCCACCACATCATGCAATAACGAAAGTTCACCTGTCATATGATTGGACGCACCAGTATCAATTATCCAACGAGGTGATACAGGAATACGAGAGAGTTTTGGTGAGTTGTCTGTAGGGGAGAGTGAAAGGGCATGACGAACAACATTCCACTGTTCAGGCATTAAATCCTCAAAGTTTGGCAGCGGAGACCGTCCTTTTTCTTCTCCTTGGACAGCATGAACTTCGCCTCGTCCGCCCGTAACGGTCGACCGTCCAGTCGCCATGGTCGACCGTCCACCGCCTCGTGCAGTCCCACGGCCCCTTCCACGACCGTTTCCTCTTCCTCTTCCAGCCTGATCGCGGAACACCCATCCCTCTAGGTACCCAATCAGCTTGTAGCACGCCTCAACCTCATGTCCTGTTTTCCCACAGTGAGAGAACACAAGCTCTTTGACCTCCATCTTATTCTTTACGGCAAACACGGACGCACCTGCTTCACTGCTTTCTCCTTTGTGCATCCCATTCCGTGCTGTTTCATCTTGGACAAGAATATTATATATTCTTGCCACCGGTGGTATGATTTCTTTGACCGCAAAGTTCCATACAAAGCATCATTCAAACCCATCAAAAATTGATGGGAGCGTTCCCTCTCACGCATCTGCGCAAGCTTCTCCGGCAAATCACACGTGCAATTATATTCCTACACGTACAGATTGGGAATCGCTCTAAATCTGCTAGATCATCCCACAACTTCTTCATCTTCCCATAATATTCCATTATGGAAAGATTCTTCTGTTTGCATTCCGGCAAGTCCCGCTTCAACTGCTGAACCCTTGGTCTATTAACCACAGAGAAGCGGGCCTTCAGATCACTCCATATATCTGAAGCTTTCTCCACAAACGATATGCTTGATCTCAAGGTTGGATCAATTGTGTTCCGAATCCAAGAGACCAACAACGAATGATTCGTCCACCAATCATCAAAATCTTCTGTATCAGGATCAGGCATCTCAATTGTCTCATCAACAAATCCAAACTTCTTGCGTGCTCGAAGAGCCAAACGCAGAGATTTGGACCACTCATCATAATTATCCCCCTTTAGAACGACATGTGTCAACATCATACCCGAATTGTCGCTCGGAGACAGATCATATGGAGAGATACGACGACGTCGCACCCCAACTTCCTCCTCTTCTCGTTCCTCATTCCTATGCTGGAAATAATCTTCATGGGTGTTTCTTCAGACATACCAGGTGACACAGATCAAGAATTGGATCGAATAGCAGCAGCAATTGAAGAGACTGTCGTTGGGACGGTCGATGCCTTCGACCGCTCTGCAAGGACGGTCGACCGTTCTGGTCTTTTCGGCAGCTACAACAAGCAACGATCGATGGACGCGATGCCGGGGATCGTGAACAATAACCGCGGAAATTCCTAGGGTTTAGGCTCTGATACCATGAAAGAATTGTTTGAAAGGAAATTCTCTGTATTATTTTCTGTGTGTACAATTTACACCAAGGCATACATATATAGTGGAGAATCCTAATTAACAAAGGAAAAGGAATCCCTATGCAAGGAAACTACCGAAACTAATATATACGAAATTATCTCCCAAATATTCTCATATTCTCTTTCCTTTTACACATGATTTATACTACCTCCGTCCCGTGAAACATTTCCCCTTTCTTTTTTTATCCGTCCCACAAAACACTTCTCATTTCTATTAAAAAGTCACTTTTACCCCTTACTTTTTCATACCCTAACTATCACATCATACCTTTTTACTAATAATCTATCCATCAAATCATACTTTTACCCATCACATCAAAGGACATTTTTGGAAATTCAATACCAAAATACACTCCCTTAAATCCCTCCTAAAAAGCAAATGTCCCATGTTTCACGGGACGGAAGTAGTACTTTCAAATTTTTNTTTACACATGATTTATACTACCTCCGTCCCGTGAAACATTTCCCCTTTCTTTTTTTATCCGTCCCACAAAACACTTCTCATTTCTATTAAAAAGTCACTTTTACCCCTTACTTTTTCATACCCTAACTATCACATCATACCTTTTTACTAATAATCTATCCATCAAATCATACTTTTACCCATCACATCAAAGGACATTTTTGGAAATTCAATACCAAAATACACTCCCTTAAATCCCTCCTAAAAAGCAAATGTCCCATGTTTCACGGGACGGAAGTAGTACTTTCAAATTTTTATTCTTTTTTTGTCAATGATCAACCATTAATTACTCCATTTAATTTTCATTGCAACTCTTTTTTAACTATTTCGATCTGTTTCATTGTTTTACTATTTCTTAATCTTGATTTTGAAAGAATGGAATTTCCCTCGAGGGAACAAAGAAAAAAATAAGAAATTAAATTTCAAATCGAAATACTTGCGTAAAAAGTAGAAACTTACTACACTTTTAGATTACTCGGTATTGTTTTGGAACTATATTTTTATGGATTAAGAAGAATAATTCTCAAAATAGTCCTTTGCAATAAGGTATTTTCGCAAATCAGTCCTCAATAAATTTTAATTACCTACGTGGTCCTTTATAATTGAAATTTATTCCCTAGATGGTCCTTCATAAATAATGTTACTCAAATGAGGATTAATTGAGGGTATTTTGGTATTTTTTATCCGCTAAATTTATAATTAATTTTTAAAATGATCATTTATAAAGAAGTTCTTTTCGAAAATGGTTTTTTCTAATTAAAGATGTGCATTTGATTTGAAATTTATAAGATTCTTTTATATGTTTTAAATAATTCATGAATTATTTATAGTCAATATATTTTTTCAATTTTACATTTAGTTGTACAAAAATAACTGTTTCGAGAATATACTTTAAATTTGGATGATCAAAATACCAAAATATCTCCCAATTAATCATCATTTGGGTAACATTATTTACGAATAACTATTTTGGGAATAATCTCAATTATAGAGGATCATGTGGGTAATTAAAACTTAATGATAGCTGATCGGGAAAACACCTTATTACAAAGGACCATTTTGCGTATTTACTCCATTAAAAACTATTTTTGTTGCCTTTTTTCAGTTTTTACATTGTAGATATTACAATTTCATTTGTAAATAGAAATGCTAGTGACAAACAAAGAATTCATAAAATTTATAAATATCAAAATTTAAAGCCAAATCAAAATATCTCAATTGTGTTTTTTACACCAATATTTTAATT